CTCTCTCTCTCTCTCTCTCTCTCTCTCTCTCTCTCTCACACACACACACACACACACACACTTTACACACACACACACACACTTGACACACACACACACTTGATACACACACACACACACACACACACACTTTACACACACCTCCCCACCACCACCACCGCCCCCCGCAGCTGACCCAGGCCGGCCTGCAGGTCGCTGGCGTCAACGAGAAGGGCGAGCACTGCCTCGACATGACGGGCACCAAGAAGCACGTTGAGGCCGCCATCAACATGATCTCCGTCGTCGTCAACATGGCCGCGTGACCGCCGCCGCGGCGGCGGCGCCGCCGCCGCACGCCCCAGCGGGCACGCAGGTGCGGAGGGGTGTCGGCGCCCCGGGGCCGCAGGGGCACGCGCGTTCCTCCGCCTGAGCTTGTACCCCTGCACGCCCGGGCTGGCGTGCGGCGTGCCGATCACTCACTGACGAGCGCCCTGCAGGCCACGCGTGCCGATCCGCTCCCTGTCTCGGGGCCCGTTGCGCTGCGCCCGCCTTTGCCGTCCGTCCCCCTCCCCATGCTCCCTGGGCGCCGTGCCATGCGCCCCTGTCAGGCAGCCGGGCCATCGTCGCGCGTGCAGGCACCTGCGCGCTGTTGCTCGCACTCGCCAGCATCCCGGCCTCGCTTGCTGCCTCAGCTGCGTGTGCCGAGACAGCGCCCTCAGCATTGCGCTCGCGTCTGGAGCGTTTCGCCGCGTCGCCCCTTTGTCGCGCGTGCCAACTGCCCCCGCCGCCCACAAACCCACGCGCCCCGAGCCATTCGGGCAGCACTCCCGTCCGCTTCCCGCCGCCGCCGCTCCTGCCGCCCACCACCACCCAACTGCCGCACCGCTGACGCCGCCGCTGCCACCAGGTCCCTTGCCAGCTCAGCTCCTGATCGAGCCCGGTTGATCGGCCCCCCTTCCCGGAGAGCCCGCTCGCGGCCCACGTCCAGCCGCACGACCCAGCCCCCCCTGATGCCCCGCATGGGATGCTGCTTGTGCCACGAGCGCGTGCACCAGCCAGTCGCAGGGCTTGCACCGCCCGCCAGTGCAGCTGCCACGCCCCTGCGCGTCCAGGCTCGCGTTGCCGCGGCAGCCTGCGCAGAGCGCCCGCGGCCCAAGCGATGCTGCCGCAGCTGCTGCACGCGGCGCGCCTGTGGAGAGCTGAGCGCTGAGATGGCGGCGGCGCCTCGACGTAAAGTCTTCGCCCAGGCGTCCCTAGATGGGAGGGGAAGACGCTGCTGCAGGCGTCCAAGCGCACGCAGGCCGCCGGACGCAGTGCCGGGTCCAAGGCCGCAAGTCAATGCAGAAACCCCTCCTGGTACAGTTCTGCGTCACGTTCCCTGGCGTCCTCACTGCAGTTGCAGCGGTTGACTCGCCCGTCCACAGTCAGTCATCAGCCTGCCCCGAGCGGGATATCCCCGCCCCCAGCCAGTCTTGGGGAGTGATGCTTGCGATTTCTCTATCTACTCTCCCACAGATGGCGTGGCATGTTGAACCACCTCGCATTCAGCAATTTTGCCTGCTGCTGGCGACGTACTGTGACTTCCGCTTGCTTGCCTGTGCCACCAACTGGCTGCCTGCGACATGAGTTGACTTGCCACTTGCTGCAGCCCGCTGAGAGCGCTGGCACAAGGGTCGGCTGCGCCACAAATGCAGCGGTTGTGTAACGCGCAGAGCCTGTTTGTGAGAAGCTGTGAGATGCAGGCAATGCACAAAACAACAGGTATTTTACACAGATATGAGTGCGGGTGCATACACCGCACGTACAATGGGGTGGTGATGCGGTGCAGTCCCCCAACGCCAGCCACCACGAGCATTCACAGATAATCGCAAGGCATGCGTGCAGCCATGCGCGTACGACCTTCCAAAGTGATCACGCGTCAGATTGCCACCCTTTGAATGCCCCCAAAGCGGGGCTCAAGTGCAACTGCAACGGGTGTACAGGGGACCCGGCGCGCCCACGTGCGCGTGCATGATGTTGCAGCACGCGGTCTTGAATCACGGGGCCGCCACCTTGCCCAGCGCAAAAGCACCCCAGGCCAGCTGCCCGCCACTATTGGCTCCGCGGCTGGGACCTGGAGCGAGCGAGCCCAGAAGCAGCAGCAGCCCCCGATGCTGCTGACGCCACAACGCGGCCAAGCGCCCATCTGAGGGCCGCGCAAAAGCAGTGCACACATGAAGCAGTACAGGAAAGGGGCGGGTCTGCACCACGCCTGGCTCGAGGGGCGCCCCAGCGCGGCCCCCGCTAGGTTGCGCGGCGCCCGCTGGAGCGGGCGCCGGCCCCGCCGCACGGGACACGCGCCGTGCGAAGCGCAGTCGGCGAGGTGGGCGAGCGGGCAAGCATACGATATCAAGTTGCGGGCTCACACGGTATGTTGGGTCAAGGATCGCCGCCGGTGGTTTGCCATGCTTTCTTCTGGCCCCTGCTCGCTCTGTTGAGCGGCGCCAAGGGGGGGGGTACTACAGATGGGGCCATGATGGGTGAGGGCGGGCGCGGGAACTGGGAAGCAACGTCGACGGAAATAGAGGTGAGGAAAAGGGGGAGGGGGTGGAGGGCTGTTTGATTGTGCGGGGGTGATGGCACGCATGTGGGAGGGAAAATGGGGCGCGGGAGGCAAAGAGGTTGCCCTCTGGCCCCGGCCACTGCGGCCGCACGCCAATCATCTGCCGTGAGAGTGTATAGCCGCCGCCAGGGCGCCGAAGCAAAGCAAGGCGGGGGCCTGCCATGCGTGCGCGCCCAGCGGCCGGGCGCGCGCCGCTTGGTGCCACCTTTGCGCGCCATTTGAGAGTGGGAACCCAGACTGGTGGAAACCGGCGGGATGCGCCCGCTTCGTCGGGCAACAGAAAGAGGAGACGGGGCCCCGTGCCCCGAAACAGGCGGGCGCCGCGCGCCGCTCCCCCTGTGCCGGCGAGGCGCCGCGCATCCTTCGCGCCTGCGGACGCGCGCGTCGGGGCCACGCGCCTCCAAGAAAGCAACGCGGGGCGTCGGCGCCGCGCCGCGCCGCGCTGCTGCCACGAAGCAGCGGCGTCATACGTACACGGCAACAATGTGGGCGGGGCGTGCTCGCGCAGCCCCAAACGGACGGGTGAGTGAGTGAGGGCGTTCCCCAACTGGATGGCGAGCACATGATATGAACAGCAGTATGAACAATGGCTCGCCCCGCTGGCCATGCCAGCGGCGGCGCGCCCAGCGCCCTTGCAACAGGGCAGCCCCCCCAGGAGAAGCAAAAGTTGCCAGAGGTATATGGCCGCTCCACCAGCGGGCCAGGCGGGGGTCGCAACGTCGAGACAATGCAGAGCGCACGCGCATGCAGGGTGCACTAGTGTACAGGCGCCGCGCCGACGCCCGGCGGGGCCGCGCGTGGGCGCGGCCCCGCAAAGCTCCGGCTACGCGCCCGGTGGCGAGCCGGCCGCGGCCGGCCCGTCAGCAGGGTGGAGACGCGCCTCCTCATCAACTGGCGACATCCACGCCGCAGCGGGACACGGGCGCGGGCGGCCCAGCCGGGGCTCCTGAGGGCCGCACCACGCCTCGCCGCGCCCGCGACAGCGGCGGCGGCGGCGGGTGCAGGGCGGCTCACCGGAAGTCGAGGCTGGCCGAGAGGCCCTTGGAGAGGCTCCTGACGAGGACGGGCATGCGGTGGCCGCGCAGCGCGTCCGCCGACGACGCCGGCGGCGCCGCGGGCGCGCCGCGCTCCTCAAGGATGGCGCCCGTGAAGAGGCTGCCGCGGCGCAGCGACGGCGGCGCGCCCGCGCCCGAGCCGCCGCCCGCGGCGGCGCGCGAGGGGATGTTCACGGGCGCGGAGGCGGACAGCGGGGCGTCTGCGGGCTCGCGGCCGGAGAACTGGCGGAGCAGGAACGAGGCAGACTTGGGTGAGGCGCTGGTGGCAAAGCCTCCCCAGCTGCCGCTCAGGCTGCCGCTGGCGTTGGAGGCCGATGAGAGGTTGCTGTCCAAGCTGGGGTCGGGGCGGGGG